GTTGCATCCTCTATAAAATGGTAATGGAAAAACTTGATCATAAACGGGGAACATAGAAGATACTCTCTTTCTTCTTTCCATATGCCTTCACGGCTGCAGCACGTTTTTCAGCAGCTTTCTTCTCTTCCTCAGTCTCCTCAACAAACAATTATGCTGAATATCACAAATCAATGTCTATTCAAAAGACATTTGGAACTAAATTATTACATATCAATCTGTAAAATTCATTTAGCAAGAATGAAAACTTAGTAAAATAACAAATTGAAAACTTTCCCAACTTAGAATTTACAACTACTACAAGAAAATAAATTCATATCTAATTCCTAGTTTCTACATTAAATTAAAATAAGTATGCATTTTTGGTATGTATCATACATCAGGAAGTTAATTTTCCTCACTAGGAATGTGACTATGACTTTGATTTTAGCATTGAGTCTATGCCATCAGATGGTACAGATAAATCATTCCCAACTACTCAAGTGAAAGTCAATTAGACAAAAGTTCCATACTCAGGGTGAAATGTAGGTTGTAAATTCATCCAAAGTAGCTCACACTTAATCTGATCATATCATCATACAGGTTCAAATAACTAACTAGAAGTTGGCCTCGCCCACCAAAGATTAACAGTACTGCAGAAATGGTAATAACCAATTTGAGAGAAGAAACAAAGGGAGCCTTAGCATTAATACTACACCAATAACAATTACTTGAGGGCAATAAAATGTAGGTGGAGATGTCATTTTCCCCTAAATCAATAACTAAAAACAACGGAGCTTTCAGAATCAGATTGGAGAAAAAGGAGAAAGATATAAGAGAGACAAAAGACGACGTTTTCCATTATTTTCCTAAATTTTCTAGTTGTATCCCTCAAACAGGTTTTTAAATTATTTCTTCAATTCATAAATCGAATAACATAATTACTTGAAAGTAGATTTTTTCGCAGCTACCTGATAAAAATAAAAACAATCAGTCGGTTGCAACGCAAACCCGAACATTCTCATCGCGATCCCCACTTCTATAATGGAGTTCTCTCAAATCAATTTTCTATAAGTATGTGCGTGTAAATCTTGTATATAACTAGATAAAATCAAAATCAATGGCTACTTACTCGAGAGATTAATAAGAATCCATATATACATTAGAAAAAAGGCGCTCCTGCATGACAACTTAAACCAAACCAAACTAAACTTAATTAATCATAGAAACTAAACATACCTAAAAACGAAATGTATATAACACAAGAACCAATTAGCAGAATCAAGAAATCCTAATCCAAAAATTAACACAGATTGCTTTAGCACAAAATAAGAAATATATATTTTTCAAGTCTTAACAAATCTAAACAAAGACGAAAATGGAGAAAGCCCTAAAAAATTCACAAGAAAATAAATAAGAGCCTCAAGAATGCATTATAAGAAGATGACCCAGAACGATTAGTATCAAGAAAAAGAAAAGCGATAAATCATTCAGTACAAAACTCGTAAAACCCTAGAAAATCAACAGACGGAAAAAATAATAAATTTCAAGAAAACCCATTGAAGTTCTCATTGTTCAGTAAAATGGAATAAATAATTTAACCCGAAACGGCTAGAAAATCATTTCGGAAACATAAACAAATCGAAATAAAATCCAATAATAAATTGATAACTTGAATAATTTGAATTAACAGAGTATAGCAAATGAAATCTATACTCGATGACATGAGGGTCTCTTGAGAGCATTCGCAATAAGGAAACCTCACGAAGAGTGGTGGGGGGGCACACCTTCTTCGTCTTCATGGATACGAGTTTTCTTGAGGGCCACAATCTTCGCAGTGGCCTTTTCCTCGTCTCTGTACACTTTAACGTAAGTAGCGGTCTCAACGAGCTGAGCCCGAACTTTTTTGGACCGAGCTTTTTTCGACTCAACCCGAGCAAAGTCGGGCCCGGCCAAAAAAAATGAGGCTGTGCCTGAGCTTTTGGCCCGAGCCTAAGCGGGCCGAGCCTGCTGGGTTTTTTTGATTTTTTTCTTTTTCTTTTCTTAGCTGCCTGCAACAGGCAGCAAGGCAGACACAACTGCAAGGCAGCACAGCTGCCTTGTGCCTGTAGGCAGAAAAGCAAGCTGCCTTCAAATTTATTTATTTTTATTTATTTATTTTTTAAATATTGGCTTGCCCGGGCCATGGGCCGGCCCGGGCTCGAGTCGACTCCCCAAAGTGGGGCTCGGCCCGAGCCCGAGCCGGGCCCAACTCGGGCTTTTTTCGAGCCGAGCCGAGCCCGAACCGTCCGAGTCTCCGAGTTTTTTTGCCACCGCTAACCGTAAGTCCTCTCTCCCAAAATGGTTCCACAGGTGAGGTGGCGGAATGGGCAAAAATCGCCCTAATATCCAACTAGCAAGGGTGAGGGCGTGAATAAGGGTAGGGTTTGGATTAATTTGGGTTTCTAACAGCCCATGTATAATTTAAAAAAGTACAAAAGTTTTCATAAAAAGTTAATCTATTGAAACTTTTTACAACATTTGTCAAAAGTTGCAAAAGTAAACTTTTCGCAACGTTCGACAAACGTTGCAAAAGGCTTTTCTTTCGCAACGTTCAAAAAAGTTGCAAAAATGAGACCTTTCGCAACGTTTAATAAACGTTGCACAAGTAGACTCTTTGCAACGTTTGACAAACGTTGCAAAATGCTTTTCTTTTTGTAATATTTGATAAATGTTGCAAAAATAAAACATTCCGCAACACTCAATAAACGTTGTAAAAAGGGGTCTATCGCAACATTTTTCTATAAAACATTGCCAAAATTATTTATATTAACCAATGACAACATTCACTTACTAAAATGTTGTCAAAAGACCCTTTTAGCAACATTTATCGACAAATGTTGCCTTTTTAGTATTGCAAATGACTATTTTTGTTGTAATGTTAATAGGCTCTAATACGATATTAATACTCGAGTTTCCATCTTAAAAGGTCAACCTAATTAAGAAGAGTAGCCTAAGCCCTTAAATATTGTTCTATATTTCGGTATTTGATCGATTTTGGATTTATCGCTTTAATACATGATTGTTGCAGTGTCATTGGAATTTCTATCTCATATTAACGATGTGCACGTGGAATATGAGGTTAGATTTCTTGCAATCTGAAGCTTCCTTTCTCACAAAGGTAGTTTTGAAGGTATTGATGCGCCGTGTCGTCTCGCTGACTCCCCTAAAAAACTTGGAGTAAGCTAGTTGTGTTGCCCATTGCAAGATTAAGCTGGTAGTTAAAGAAAGAATCCACTACAAATGAAAGGTCTCCACCAAAACTCGAATAATTTATAAGCTCTGAATATATTTGGACTGTGAAAACGAAAACGATATATTCATTTCAGTACTTATGATTGCAATGAGAAAAAACAGACTATTGAACAGCTAACTTCCTTTCAGTTGTTAATGTTTCTACTTTCAAGTGTTTTCGGTGTATGTGACTTATAAGTTTCAAAATGTGGAGACAGAGACGAATCTTTGCAACTAGTAGAGTCTTCTGTTTGTTCTTTCATTTTTATTTTACTACCTGAATTAGAGTATATGTGGCTGAGTTTAAAATGCTAAGAAAAGCAGAAAATGAGCCATTTTTTGACTTCTTTTCTAGCATTTAAGCTTAACCAAGTGGACATCCAGTATATGTTCTCTTATTACTTGTATATTTAAATATTTTATCAAATTTAAAATAAATGCCGTGATAAATTGAGATTATTACAATGTTTTTAACACAGTTGACAACTTTGTTACCTTTTTGGTCATTTGGTGATAGCGTGTTCTTATCTTGTGATTATATTGTCTCATCATTGAGAAGCCGGGATACGAGGTTTACAGTTAAACATAATGATTCGCTATAAACCTAGGATTACAATTTTACTTTTTAAAAACCAATCATGGTTTTATTGTGTATATTTCTCACTCATGGTTAGCGGACCTTGCTCAAATCACTCGTGAGTTATCTATTTCACATTTTTACTGCAATTGTATCTCTTCTTGTTTTATGTGTGAAAATTCAAGAAAGTTATTGTTAAACGTGTATTGCATGAGAAATGCAGCAAGTAGGTCTATAATTCCAATGTATCATTTTTGGGTCCAATGGAATTTGTATAGGAAGAATCCCTTTCAAATAAATATTTTTTATTTTGATCATATTTCGATTGTTAATACGACTGCTACTACAAGGAGAATTATATAATTGATTGTGAAATATCCATTGCTTGTTGACCCCAGTGAATTGCGTGAAAGTTTGATACTCCAAAATATGGGGGTCTAAGAGTTTTAAAAAATATTCCTGGTGGAAAAAAAATGTGAATTATAGATTCCACTAAATTGAATTGAGTTCATGAATCTAAGAAATAGTGATAATTCTTGATCTTTGATCCCTAAACTTGTATTTTATTGCACTTGAGTATTCAATCATGATAGAAATTATCTATTTGATCGTCATAACAAGAAAATCATTCGTTAAACGGCTAGTTTTTCATTAAATTTTCGGCTTTTTAAAAAAACAATCTGGACCTTTTTTCCCCTTATAAATAGAGTAATGCTATTCGTAGTCGCTTACTACGGTAGTCACCCTAGTGAGTTGCTGCAATAGCATTATTCTTATAAATATCCCAATAACTTTGCCGGGGTGAGATCATAACCTAAAAAATGAAGAAACTCGGACAGATGCATCTCATTCTGTGAAAAGGATGAGGCCTTCTCTTTAATTCACCTCTCAAACAATTGGAGAAACATCGTGAAGCAGATTCAGATTGTATACTACATGTACACTTTCCCCTTCAATAAGGTTTACATGTAACTCAATATTACTCTTTCTATCCAGAAGGAAAATCACTGTCATCAAGATGCAGCTATAAGAAAAGCTGCTGGTATTTCATCGCAAGAAAATTGGAGCAGATAAACTGAGGCAAGCCTCTTGACCGATGGACCATACTCGACTTCGACTTGGTGTTGCAGTCACTAAACTACTTATTTTAGCTTCAGCAAATTGAGTTTCGATATCATAGGCAAGTATCGTGTGACAAGCGTGATTTTCCATCAACACCATTCAACAGGCGAATAAGGGAGTGTCTCACACGATCCAGCACTGGACAATCTGAAATCCCGGGAATTCTAGCTCCAATGAGGTGTGAAATTGCCACGGGTGAATTGGGATTATCTTCTTGTAGAATATCTCCTATCCGAGAGAGAAAGTTGAATGACAAGTTAGCTAGAGTTCGAGAGTAGGCTTCCAGAATCGAATGCCGAACATCCTGTATATACATTGAAGGAAGTAACTCAGCACAAATTGATATTACCAACCAACACCCCTGTTGAGTTTTTTGATATCCAATAAATCCGGACGATGACGATAAACTGATGTTGGATATTTTATTGACACCAAAGTGACGGCTCGACTCGGAAACAATTAGTACATATTTGGAGGGCCTAAGTTTTAGTCGGGTTGGTAGTTTGGTTAATGTATGGATTTGGTTATTGTTAACCCATTAACTTGGCCCATTTAGTGATATGTTTTGGCCCAATTTCAGATACCTAATTAGTGCTACATATACCACCTCCATTGCAGCCGTTTTTTGTGTGTGGGGGTGTGTGCAAGAAAGGGTTGAGAGAGGCAGCCGTTTGAGTGAGGAATGGGCAGTCGTGGAGGTGAGTTTCTTGGTGAGATTCAACCATTGTTCTTCTCTTCTCCTTCCGCCCTATGTGGGTTGCATATCCCCATCACCAAGTGTCTCCTTTGTGGGGATAAAACTAAGGCAACCAAAGGTGTTAAGGATTGTTGGGTCGAGCCGATTGATTTGTGATCATTTGGTTGATTTTCCGAGCTCGGAATCAAGATTTCTCGAAGATTTTCACGACAACCCCCATCCCCCATCATTCCCTTGGACAGGAAGAAGGAAAAGGGATCATCGTAGTACCAAATGGACATGAATCTCACATTAGGGTGAACCAATGTAATTTAAACTTATATTTATTTTTTCCATTTCATGGAATGTTGCTCTTGTAACTGGGATTTGGGCTTAATCCAAACACTAATTTGGCTAGTCAGAATCAATGTCAAGTAGCGCATAGCAGTAACGAACAACTTACCTTTCCGTATTGAACTTTCGTAGCATCAAGGAAGCTCTGAGGAAGATTGGGATACTTGGTCTTTAGCAGCTGCAGAAGTATATCTGCTCGGTTCACCACCGACTCTGCCTTATCCAGCTCCGAATTTGGATCTTTGACGAAAGACCAAGATGTTCGAACAGGAGATTTACCACTTTGCTCCATGATTTTCTCTTTCCACGCAAGCATTGCAGTTTCCAATCTGTTAATGACTTCAAGAGCTTCATGTTCACATTTCAGATTAAGACAACTCATTATTTCCTCAGCTGAAATTGATTCTGCAGTCAATATTTTGTAGAGTTCGACGCCAAGGCATGCCTTTCCAGACTGCAATGAGGGCAAACACGGTAGTCAACAATCAGGTATTTTTACAGATAAAACAACAAATTCATCGTTCGGTAAAACCTGACACTGAAGAATCACAGGCAAAAGTACTAGCCTTTATAATTAAGCTTTTGGCAATTTAAATTTATTCAATGTATTTTAACTCATATTTTCCATGTTTCAAATAATTGTAAATAATGGAAATCATGCTTGCCTTTGGTAGTGCATCCTTGATTTCGGTTGAAGGAAGTTTATAATCTGGTCAAACAGTTTATAAACCCGTGAATAGTTTTTGAGCATGTTCGGCAAAGATTTTTGCAGTTTATAAGCCGGTCAAACAACATTTTTAATCACACGTCTTAGGACCGACAACTTCATCTACTTTAAAACCACAAATGTTTTGGGACCCACTCTTTATAAGCATATAAAAGCTTTGTGAAGACACTTCATAAATAAGTGAGACTTGAACTTAAGACCTTTAATTTATACCATTTTAATCACAAATAGGAAGTTTGGTATTGCTCGGATACCATCGTCTAAAAGCTTAAGTCATTACATAGAGGACATATTTATTTATATAAAACTACTTCTTTGACGGTTCCTGATAATAGGACTGCCAAACTCAAAAATACTCTACAACACTGGCATCACATTCAATCTTTAATTTCTATAGTCAAATGACATTAATATTACTTCTTGGGCAAATATGACTCAATAAATAGAGTTACCCCACATGGCCAAACCTCACATGATAATATATGGAAGTCATTTTTATTGAGTTTTGACTATTAAAAACAAAACATTTTCATATTCCCATTTACAATTTTCTATTTCTTGAAGGTATGGGCCATACTCAAGTAATTAAAAAGCAGCTATCTTTAATTCAAGTTTGCACCCCAAGACTTCTTCAAATTCTCCAACATATTGTTGTAGATGAGCCATGTCATGTGGTAGGTATTAGGCATATGAAATTGTCACAAATTCAAGACTTTTTTACTCAATTATAACGTAAATTAAGCAAATCTGACTGCTTACATTAAGCAAAAATATACATACGAACACGTGTGTGTGTATATATATATATATATATATACAGAGAGAGATAGAGGACATGTCTATTGTACAACATGCTAATCTCCTGTTCATGATCATTTTCTTGCCTCCTAAAAAAAAACAAAGATTGAGGAAAAGTCTCGGGTTGGTTGTTCAAACCTCCCTCCAAAAAAGAGTTACTAATCTCAATCTGATGAGTTATATGCTTATGATTTTATAGGCATTTTTGTGCACAGTTCTTGATACCAATGATACTGAATAGTATTACTCTTCTAAAAAACACAATTTTTGGTCACTAATTTTTGTCCCAATTTCACTATTTAGGCTCGTAGAATTGGCCAAAGGATACTAGCATGTTTGGGAAGTATTAATAAATTATTTAAATTATAAATAGATAAAATGAGTGATGAATAATTTTAATAGTACTCTTGAATTTCAGAAATATATAAATAAAAAAAGTGACTTGAAACATGAGCCAAACATATTTCCAATATAACGGTATAAAAACTTGACATATCTCAAGAACGTATGTGTGTAGCCAGCCTTACCCTTTTCCAAGGAACTTGATGGAGCTATGCGGAAATTATTTACTAAGAAAATTATAGATCGTTGTTTGTCCGATTTCTCTGACTCATATACGTTCGTGGCATGAATTATGGGTATATATTGAGGAGAATGGTTATTAGCTCATGTTTGGCTAATATTTTTATATTATACGTAAACGATCAAATTATTTTTTATCTATACATTTCATGGTATTTACAATTACTATAAATATATCAATCACTTATTTTTATCTATTTATAATTTAGCTCATTTATAAACACTTCCTAAACATACTCTAAATGAGAGTGATTATCAATCACAATATATTACACATGCAGTATGATGACAGGACAATATTGTTGTTGATTTTATCCCGCAAGTGAATAGATCGTAAACAATTAATACGATGATGAATAGAGTGTCGAGAACCTACGAAAACTAATACCTACTTTTTTACCTTAAATATATACTACCTCTAATTTGAAGCACATACAATCAATGTTTGAGATCCATATTTTATTTTATCTAATTATTTGTGAAAATAATCAACTAAAGACAAGCAACAAATCTTGAAATTAATCAAATCAAAAGGCACTAGATTCACAAATCAACAATTTTTAACGTATTTTAATCATCAATTACCCGTTGATAATCAATTCTTGTCAAGGTTGAAAATCAATGATCCAATTATAATCAATAGCTCTCTCAATTATTAATTAATCATATATTGACATAGGAACTTAATTTTTATTAATTGAATTGCAAACATATAAATATGTCTTAATGCACACAGGTCATCTCATAATGATTTCATTGAGTATAATGATATCTATAACTAAAATAAGACCTATTTTTTTCATTACCTATTCTAATTTATACCAAATTTCATGAAAGCAATATAAATCAAAAATACGTTCGAAGGGTGAACAAACATAAAAATAATAATAAGAAAATAAGAAACAATCAAATTAAAAAAATAAGAATTAAACAAAAAGTAATTAAATAGTCAAATAATTTGTGATATCTACAAATTACGTGACATGTACAAGACAGAGAGGGTCCCACATTGATCAACTCAACATCAATTATGTCAATTGGATTGTGTCGATTAAATCACTTTTGCCGAAACTTGGGCCCATTTTACTAACTCATCTTAACACATTCACTTTCTTTGTCAGAGAGAGAGAGGGTTCATTTTTACATTCAAGGTAAGTATTCAAAACTTAGCCAAATGCCCCTACATCTCTCTTGCATGCATTCTATTCTGTTTCGATAATTGACTTCATTGTCGGAGTACAAACAATCATTGCACTTTTTTCTTAGTCCACACCTTTGCTCCCTAACTATGTGTTCTAGCATACATGTGTGCCTAGATAGATGAGTAGGAGGTTGGATTTGTTGGCCACATGCTTGTTGAATTTCAAGATCTATAGATAACAAGGCTTCATCATTAATCCTGGCTACATAGGATTTTGTATATCATATTTTAATCACAAAAATATAACATAAATAATGAAAAGATAATTCGAATAATTTGGAAGAATAGATAGGTACAACCCTTACTATTTGAACTATGCATTTACTTTGTAATATTATAAATTTTGAGATTTAATAAATATTAATTTTTCATTCAAAATAACTATATATATAGAATACATTGTATTTGACTATTGATAAATAACATAATAAAAATAAAAATAAATTTAACAATACTAGCAATTAAAATAATAACACATTGTGTTTGATGTAGATTTTTTTTAGAATATATTTTATGAAAAGTGATATCTTTGATGATTATATAATTAAAAAGTAGGGAAAAGTTAGGATCCATATAAAAAATTATTTTATTGAGAGATTATATGGTTGAAATGAGTTTCGAAAAAATGAGTTTCAAATAATTTGTACCAAACATGAACTAAGAGAACTCGAAGATTACTATTCTTGAGGTCCATAACATCATCTATAATGCCGAAATTAAACAAAAGTTTAAAAAACAATTTTTATATAATATTTAGTAAGTCGAGTTTAAGTGTTTTCACACTAATATTGAACTGTATCAGGAAAAAAAATTTACAACACAATAAACATGACCAAATAACTGAACTCATTCTCCTTAACAAGATTATTTATTTCTACACAGTTGAATAATATAATTCAAACTTCACATGAAAATTTCATTCTGTAGTGGTTCAGAAGTCGTATTTTCTAGCTCATATTTGAATTTTTCCACAGCCAGTGGTGGCAAGCATATTGATACAACAACTCCATCTTCTCCCATACTGTTCTTGAAATTCGTATAAAAACTAATATTTGAAGTGGCCGAAGCAATTCCACCATACACTGCATTGCCCCATCCAAAATCAACCTTTTCAAAGCCTAAACGGGTTATGTCTGAAACAATGAAATTCCAAACTGTTGCGTATTTGGGTCGTTTCTTGATCACCATAAGATCTGCCACTGATTTAATGTACTCTTCACTCATTTGAGCCTTTGCATTTTGAATTAACTGAACTGCATATGACAATGGAGCAGTGCATAAATTTCTGGCTGTGGATACTGCTGCCGGATAAACAAAAGCATTGCCGTAGTATCCAGTCGGTACATTTAGGCCTGGCTTGCCACGCACATTGATACAGATTGAAAGACGAACAATCTCATCTGGATCAGATGGATTTAGTGCATTCGTACGACATTTCCATAAGCATGCTGTTATCAGATCAAATCTTGAGCACCTACGAAAACTTCCTAACGAGGATAGATGATTATAAAGTTCTTGTATATCCTTTGGAGTAAAGAAAATGGCGGCCCGAATTAGCTTGTCCGAATCCATAAAGTCTGGGGATTGTGGTATTTGTTCAAATTCATGGTGAATGCATGTAATTCTTGGGGGAGATCTTGCATTCAAATATTGGTCTCTTTGCCATACAGGTGAAATTGAAGGTGCATATTCACCTTTCCCTAATTCAGAAATAGCATTTAGAAATTGCATCATCCCATAAGCATCTGCCATAGTGTGGTTCAATCGGATTCCCAAAGCAAATCCTCCACAAATGAATCTGGTTACCTGCATTTAGGATTAATTTAAATAATTCATTTTAGTACTTACAAGCTACTCATATCACCCATAAGATTCTAAAACATAAATTTCAAGTGCTTATTGTAAGCCATTAAAAGTAAATGTTGTTGGGTTTTGATACCCAATAAATCTAGGTAATGATGTTAAACCGGTTTTTAGATTATACTTCATAGGCTTCGGTTGATGAGTGAAATGAAATATCAACACCACAATCGAACAATCCATTCCTACAACTTATTCGGACTATTTGAAGTAACCTAATTACATTAATGTTGCTCATGGCCCGACCAATCACCTTAGAAGGCTTTTCGGTGGTAGCCCTATTATTTCCTATTGGGCCTAACTATGTTCTAACCTAAAAGCCCACCTTTGGTACCTATATATACTTTGCCCCATTACTGTAGTTGAAGTGTATGTGAAATTGAGGGAAGTCGTTTCCATTGAGAAGAGAAAACTGATTCCCCTGTTTGCTTTGTGCTTTGGCTTCGTGCCTTTTTCTTTGGTGATCCATTTTCTTCATCCTTCTCTAGCCTTGGTGGCTAAACATTGAGGCTACCTTCTTCTTCACACCGAGCCCTTTGTGGGCAAACTCGTGAGCAACGGGTTGGGGCATTGGTTTGGGATTGGTTTTGTTGACTGTGGTGGTTGATTGGAAGAAACTGACCAGGGAAATCACACATTGGAGCACCTACTTATAAAATTTGGTATCAGAGCCGGAGTTGGATTGAAATCCGGTGAAATCGACAAAAGCGAGGAAGAGAAGCTCACGGGTTTTCACAAGAAATTGAACCCATCTTTTTAAATTTCGGCCAAGCCATTGACTTGTCAGATGAATTGAAAGTAGACCCATTCCCTACAGATTGAGGCGCACCTAATGGTGGTGCGAGTGGGCTCCGGTGGCGACGAGTGGGTAGTCAGGTGGTGGCATGTGGCGGCGTGTCTGGCAGTTTCAGGCGACAGTTTCTTCAGGCAGTTTGTTTATTTTGATTTCCTGAACGTACTAATATTTTTTTTATTTCAGGCTTCACAGAAAAATGTGGACGATTTTGCCCTTTGTGAGTTCTGCGGTTGAAACTGCAAAACATTTACTGAATTACTTTAAGGCAAAAATTGCAACCCTAAAGCAGTAAAATCGCATCTGTCATATTTTACGGATTCAGACAGGTCCGCTATGATAAATTGGCTTATCTTGTTTAAATTTCAACATTAGCGAGTCATCGTGTGGGGTGATATTAGGATTGAGGTTGCCGTGAAGGGGTAACCATTGCTTGTGCTAGAAATTTAAGAATTAATTCTTCTTTTTGAAGTGTTGAATTTGAATGCAAGTTGGTAATTGCTTTTGTGCTATAAATGTTGCTTAGTCATTGTGTGAAACTGCATTGCATGGAAATTTTGAATTTTTTGATTATATCTTTGTGTTGCATTGATTATCCTATTAGACCACCTGGACTTGACTCGTTCGAATATTTCCTTGATCTAAGATCGTGAATCTTACGAAACCCTGGGAATCTAGAATGGTGTATGATGTTGCTTTAGGATTACTTTGTGTGACCTTTTTGTGCATTTTGGTTGTTCAGTTTTTAAAAATGTCTTCACATTTCGAAATTGAAATTTTCAATGAGAAATGAGATTTTTCAATTTGGCAACAAAAGATGAATGAGATTTTAATTCAACAAAAAGTTTCAAAAGCCATTGATGACAAATTTCCTGAAAATTAACAGAAGCACAAACTTCAATTATTTTACACCTGTCTGTTTTTGGTTCAACAAAAAGTTTCAAAGGCCATTGATGGCAAATTTCCGAAAAATTTTACAGATGCACAAAAAGAAGAATATGATGAACTTGTATACACTTCAATTATTTTACACCTGTCTGACACTGTTTTGAGAAAAGTTGGAAAAATCTGATTCTACTAAAAAACTTTGAAAAAAGTCGGAAGATTTATATTTGCTTAAGTCTACTCCAAGTAAATTGTACCTGCTTGAAAGATTTTTCAATTTTAAAATGGATCTTTCAAAAGATCTTAATGACAATTTGGTTTTTTTTTAACAAGTTGGTTCAAGATATTGTTAATTGTGATGAGAAGATTTCTGAAACCCATAAGGCTATCATTTTGTTTAATTATATGCCTGATTTATATAGATTTTAAGAATGTGATTAAGTACGGTAGGGACACCTTCATCCCCAAGATTGTTACAGATTCCCTTAGGAGTAAGGAAATGGAGATTAAGGCTAAAAAAAAGATAAGAGAAGTGGTGAATTGCATATGATGAGGAGTAGAATGAAGTTTAAACAGATAAGTTTGGGTAGAACTCAAGACAATGGTGATTCGAGTAGTGGCTCGAGTGATGAGGGTGATAAGAAGGAAAGCAATGGATAGGACAAGCCTAGTGGTAGATGGTGTTATAACTGTGGTAAATGTGGACACTTCATTACGGATTGTTTCAAGAAGAAGGGTAAGATGAGAGGCAATAGAAATTTGGCATTAGGGTCGAATGATGACCCTAGTGAGGCCTAGTGAGTGTAACCCTAGTCACTGCATTTGCATCTGTGTGTAGTCATTTCCGTATGTGTGTGATTGTTCAATTCCGTTGCATGATTATATGCTACATTTCAATGTGTTTGTTTGATATGTGCATTGGCATAAATTAGAGTGATTTTATTATTTGGTGTAATTGTTTGCATGCATAGTAGGTTTGGAATGCATTAGTAGTGTGTGAGTATGTCCTCTGATAAGGTGGAGTATAGATGTCTAGGGGTACATTGGTGGCATGTACCGATGATGTGGAGTATGATATTTGGATCACGAGTGGAGATGTGATCAAATGTTGGAATCTTTTATCTATGAAGAGATCTTGATCAGGTAGTGTGTGAGAAAGACACTTCTATCACTTTGTTAGGTGGAGACCCATTATCCACATAGGTTGGGAGAAGTGATGTGGTGATAGAGGATTATCCCGAGAACTTAGGAGCTATAGATGCTTACCAGTTAGACGTGTTTTTGAGTGATTAGTCTAGTAAACATGGTGAGCGATAAGGTGACATATGTGTTCTTGAGGTGCGAGCAACACGTAATGGGATATGATAAGTGTAGTGAAATCTTTTCGTGAGGTTATTTATGAATTTGTTGCATATGTGTTGACCGTGTGTTTGATTAACTTGGTGCTAATCTATTGTTCTGTGTAGACATGTTGGAAAAGATTTATGTGTTATTCTATATATTTGCTCTTGATTGATTACTGTGATTATCTGCTTCTACTTAAGTGTTCTTGATCCTAGCCTCGACGAGTATATGGAGCATGTATGTTATGTGTTTCAAGTTCGAAACATGAGATAAGGTCTGTGATACCAATTTTATTGGTTACCTTGATTGTGCAAGTATAAACTATGTGTTTTGATTGCTTGCAGATTTATTGAGAATTAATGTGGAGATTTGTTGGGTTTTGATACCCAATAAATCCGAGCGATGTTGTTAAACCGGTTTATTGGATTATACTTCATATGCCTCAGCAGATGAGTGAAGTGAAATGTCGACAACACAATCGAACAAACCATTCCTACAATTTATTTGGGCCATTTGAAGTAACCTAATTACATTAGTGTTGCTTACGGCCCAACCCATTACCTTGGAAGGCTTTTTGGTGGTAGTCCTATTATTTCCTATGGGGCCTAACTATGTTCTAACCTAAAATCCCACACGTGGTACCTATATAACTTTGCCCTATTACTGTAGTTGAAGTGTATGTGAAATTGAGGGAAGCCGTTTCCATTGAGAAGAGAAAACTGATTCACTTGTTTACTTTGTGCTTTGGTTTTGTGCCTTTTTCTTTGGTGATCCATTTTCTCCCTCCTTCTCTAGCCTTGGTGGCCGAACATTGAGGCTACCTTCTTCTTCACACAGAGCCCTTTGTGGGCAAACCCCGTGAGCAACCTCTTGGGGCGTTGGTTTGGGATTAATTTTGTTGACTGTGGTGGTTGATTGGAAGAAACTAAGCCAGGGAAATCACTAGCAAATGTTATGTTTTAGATGAGTTTTTCAGCTTAATATATGGCACACAAACTCTCACAGTTCAAATCATACTATCACCCATTTGATGAAAACTATATCGTTAGGTATTTGATGAAAATAATGAATTCAACGTCCACGTTAGAAGTATATATACATTTACATACCTACAAACATGTTGGGTAGTATGTCCTTACAGTATAGTTTTGTTGTAATAAATAAAATTATCCATTATCAATGTACAAGGATTGACATATTGTACTTGAAGTTTATAGTGTTAATCATTTTGGTATTCGAGTTTGTGATTTGTTCTTATAGTAGAAATAATGATAATACTACTACACTTGGAGTGTAATTAATAGACCACATGTCTAGTTCAATTTTATAGCATGATCGTGCGGAACATAAATTCCACTTGCTAGTCCGGTTTATTATCTAAATTCTAGACAAAATTGTTTATATCTTCTCGCGAATTTAATGATTATTTGATTCACCAATGCGTGACATCAATTTGATTGATCATATATATTGGTGAGTTGAGAATTTAAGAATGAACGAAGAATACAAATTTGTTTCGAGAACCATCTATCTGAAAAAGGGGTTGAATGACTACTTAAAGTATTTTCAATTGAACAATTATAAATTTGAGCTCAATATTTAGTGATACCTAAACTTCGACATCTGTGACTTGTTCATGTGACTGATTGATGAAGAAAATGAAACTTAAATTAGTGAAAATACTTTGAAGGATAAAGTTGTCACTTATGTCAGTATTTAATTATTGGATCTTGAATGGGATGAAACATGTAGATAAGAGGAAAATACTACAAATATTTTAGCTTATGTGATTTTAAATATTCTGTGAATGCAGCTTTTGCCTTTTAGTAAAAATAAAAATAAAGATTAATAATTAGTTTTGATAGTCTAGAATCCACTAGAAGCTTGAAAAATATATGGCCAAACATGTCGCCATGGTAACTCTGTAAAGCTTTAGAGTCAATTGCAATTACTTTGAAATATTTTGAACATAATTATAATTGTAATTAAGCCCGTTTATCCCCCATTACTTGAAATTTTAATGGTTGGAATAAAGCTAAATCCACCAATGATCACTCAACTTTATAGTTGGTGTCACCTTGACCGAGGCCACCCAATTTGATTTTATTTCATCAAAGCTATTCAATTTCATATAACAACTTATTTTAAAAAATAAAATAAAATAAAAACTCTTTTGAAAAAAATTTACTTAAAAAAATTAAAAAAAAAAGTTATTTTACAAAAAAATTCCTTCAAAAATAAAATAAAATAAAAAATTATTTTAAAAAAAATCCTTTATTTTTGTTTTTAAATTTTTTTTATATATATAATACAAAGTTACCGTTTTACCCTTTTGAAAATTAGTGAAAATCGTGAAAAGAAATTGGATATTGATCATAGTGAAATGTTATATGAAATTTGGTGGCCAAGGTGATATATTACATGAAATTGGGCGGCCATGGTGAAATAAAATCAAATTGGGGGGCTATGGTGATACTAAATATAAAGTTGGGTGGTCATTGATGGATTGATCTCGTTTGATTAGTATTTTTTTGAAAAATGTTTTGTTAAAAAGAAGAATTTTTTTGGAATTATGTGTAATTTTATTTTATTGAAAAATGTGTAATAGATAAAAAGAGAGTGAAAAAAGAATTATAATTTCAATGGGGGGCAAATAGCGATTAAATTTTAGAAACTACTTCTTCAATTAAACAAATTATGACTTAATTAGGCTTAAATTTGAATTAAACTTTTTGGCCTATAGGGGTCGTATTCAAGAAGAAAAAAGAGAAAAAATTATTAAAAAAATATATTTTCCTGATCTTTTCTTGTTCCGTCCAGTCTAGCATTTAACTATTGATTTAAATAAAGATTGTTCGAGGTATGTGGTCTCCACTTTGGAGAATATAAGGGTTGAATGATGGAAGCATAAATTTTGTGAAACCAATAGCTGAAATTTCATGGATTAAAAAGCTGGAAGTTCGTTATTCTAATTAAATCAAGAACTTTTAGATGAATTGGTACTTACTTGAATCAACAAAAGAGGGCAGCCAATGATCCCTCCAGAACCAGGTACATCGTGCAGAAACTCTTCNTACATCGTGCAGAAACTCTTTCATAAATGGACATGGCGGCAATATGTTATCCCGAAGCTGCTCAAGCCGGATATATGCATCAGCCTCTACGAACAATACGCCTTCGCCATTGCAATCAACTATAAGTTTTCTGTTGTCTCCTTCAATAATCCTGCCAGCAAAGGGATAGTAATAAACCAGTGTTTTCGCAAGTCCTTCTCGAATAACTTCAACTGGATTTATCCCTTTCATTGAAGGATTTTTTTTATAGAAAAACACCATCGGAACTTGTAACCATAAACCTTCTTGATCATCTATATCAGAGAGTTTCTTTATTTCACGTGGTGTAGGCTTTGCTGGCACCACCAGTTCAGGCTTACACCGTTTCACTGAAAAAGCAAAGGTAGAAGAAAATGCCATGGCAAAGACAATTTTTTATTTAGAGAATGCAAGGAAAGAAAAGGCTTATTAGCTTTGATAGTTTGAGGGCATTAATTTAATTATATTGTGAAAATGCATTTCCCTTGATAAAGGAGCAGTGACTGGTGAGCGTGTGATCGTGGGCTATTGACAGAGATTAAACATTCTAGAAAAATACACGTCTTTAGTAAGGCCCATTTGATTTGAGAGCCATTAATTTCTTGTAATGTATTATAAAAAAAAGGATGAATTGCATAGCGGCCACCACCTGCCTTGCCTTGGGTCTTGGTGAATGAGGTAAATCGCAGGTTATGCCTCCAAGGGTACAGGGTGGAAGATTACTTGTACACTTGTACTTACCCAATGACCAAATCCATATTTCAGGATTCGATCCCTTGACGTGACAACCTCAAACAAAGTTGGAGTTTTTCCACCTTCCTCTTTTACCATTTGGAGATGTGCCATGGGGGCTTCTTGTAATGTATTATAGAATAATAGATTGATGGAGAATGTATAGTTAAAAAATAATAAAACTTTATTGATTTGTGTGTATAATATTTTATTGTGTGAATGTGTGATAGAGAATGATATTATAACAAACAATTGAAAACTTTAAAGGATGGCAAACATGGGCTAACTTTCTCATTTTTTGTCTCATTTTCTGCCAACTCGAAGCAGCCTAAATACCTGTTGAGTAGTATGTCCTTAACAGCATAGTTTTGTTGTAATAAATAAAATTATGGGATAATTGCAACAAAAGATCCAAATCTTTGAAACATTAGCAGACTTTCTCCAAACATTTGTTTTGTTGCAGCTCACCCCTAGCATTCCCAAATGTTGTAGGTGAACCCATTTTGGATAGTTTCTACTTTCTATCCATATTTTTGTGAGTTGACCAAAAATTTAACTTTCACCACATTTTTTATATTTTAAAAAGGATAATTGGCGTAAAACGTCCATACCTTTGATTTTTTGGCGCATAACGTTCATACCTTTTACATTCTTTGCACCGAACATCATTTTCACCAATTTTTAAGAATATGAAGTTTGGTTGGTTATTTGCATTTTTTAAAAAGTTTGAGCCTATAGTTACAATTCATTCGTTATTTTTCTTTTCTTTTCTTTTCTTTTATTTAAATAGAAGGGTATATTGGTCATTTTATGTTAAAAATTGGTAAAAAGGATGTTCAGTGCAAAGAATGTGAAAGGTAGGGACGTTATGCGCCAAAAAATCAAAGGTATGGACATTTTCCACAAAAACCGTCAAAGGTAGAGGCGTTTTGCGCCAATTACCCGAAGGGCAAAAGAGTAACTTTTCATTTATCACATTAAATAATTAAATAAAAAATAAGAAGTAGAAAAAAAAACACACACACACGAAAATGAATTTTTGAAAGAATAGAACCAAATGTATGTTTAAATGTGAAAGCTAATACAAGTGGGGACCGTGGGGCTATTGATAGAGAATAAATGGTCTAGAAAAATTCGCGTTTTAGCTTTCTAATTTTTTGTATTTTCTGCCTACGTGAAGAAGTCAGTCTACCATCATGACACGAATTTAATGGTATTTTCGTTTTAATGTATCTTAGTTTACGGTTGGACCACAAAGTGAAACCTTAAATGATTTTACAAAGAGACTAAAATAAACATGTCTCGCATCATTCAAGACAGTAGAGCAATAGGTACTCAAATACCATCAAATTTGATGGTCACCATTGCTACTCTTTATACCTGTAAAATGGTGAACTAGCCCGGTTCACCAGCTCGCGGCCATCCAGCCCATGTTTGTTCCCAATTTTCTAAAACTCAATTTCTTTTAAAAATATTTAAAATCACACATTTCTTAAAACCCACTACTTATATCAATTTTTCAATCACACATTTACTCATCAACTTTTATCAAAATCTACTACAACATTATTTTTATTACTAAACCAACAGGGGCTTAATATCGAGCCGGCCTTCCGAAAACCCCTTTTTTATTGGAGAAATTAGTCTCATTACCTCCCAAGTAACTAATTTGAATAATACAGTACGTAATTAATATTTTCTAAACTATCAAAACCACAAAAAGATCAAATTCCCGATTCCTAAAAAACGGAAAGAGGGAAGGAAAGCGTTAACCTAATCCGAAGTCGAGACTTGAGAAGGGGTTTAAGAAGGAAGGTGATAATGGTAGTTGAAATGGAAACGACGGCTTTTAGTGGCAGTGAATCCAAATCTGAAATGTTGGGTTGGTAGAGGAGAAGAAGAAGAAAACGGTGGACGAAAGATGCAATCTTGGATGCTAAAGTGCATTGGGGAATTTAAGGCAACTCCTATAGAGAAACTCCTAAAATTAAATTTGATATAGGTAGGAACTACTGATAAGAGGCTTTGGGGAAAATTAAATATGGATGTATCTTTCACGAGATACAGAAAATTATTTTTCAAATCGTAATTTACTAAAATTTTGAATTGTGAAGGTAGAAATTTGAGAGTTTTGGGAAGTGATGATCACCAATATCTATGTATATTAGAAGCTCGTGCGTCTGTGCTTTGTTTAACATATATTTTGCATGCAGTCTGATCCCAAACTCTCAATATAGAGTTGTAAACTTTTGATAAATCTAGTCAAGATTCAATAGCACCTAGCTATGTCAACGAGCCCGAGCCCCAAAAAAAAGCTCGGGCTTGGTTCCAGTTTTTTTAGGTCGAGCTTTTTTGGGCCCAAGCCGAGCCGACCAATGCTTGACCAAAAAAAAAAAAGGCTCGGCCCGAGCTTTCGGTCCGACCCTTAGCGGGCCGAGCAGTTCGAGATTTTTTTTTTTCAATGTCAAATCTACATTTTTACTTAAAAAATTTAAAATTTGTACCGTTTATACATACTATAAATTAAATAAAAAAGTTCGGGCTCGGCTCGAGCTTTTTTGGGCCCGAGCCAAGCCGGGCAAAGCCTGGCCAAAAAAATGAGGCTCAGCCCGAGCTCGAGTGGGGCCAGGCTCGAGCTTTTTTCGAACCTAGCCCTAGCCGTCCAAGCCGGCGAGCTTTTTTGCTATCCCTAATAGCACCTTGAAATTTGGACTCAAAATATTGAACTAATGTTTGGTAAGGCTTAAAATCTCCCAAAAAACCCTTTATTTTTATGCAGAACTGCTCAGGTCGAGAGTATTTGTGAAATTTTATAAAAGAAAAATCAAGTGTTGTTGAAGAATGCAAAGGATAAGTTCAAAATTTTACGTGCATAAAGCCAGAGAAATGGGTTGGCTCTTATCATCCATTTGGTTAGACAGCTTCAGATGTTACATCAGCTGAGACACGATCTTCGTAAAATTAGATGCAAGTTGATCCCTAATCTATTTCTTTTAGGGGAATCGTCCCCAACTTTACAAAATAGGTGCACGGAAAAATTTCGCCCACCCATTTTGAGATTAATGGGGTAAATTGTGATAAACAACTGAGCCCCTGTTTGACAACTTTTATTTTCAATTTTCTTTTTATACACTCATTTTCAATCACACATTTACGTAACAAAATATTATGCATAAATTCGAAACTTTTTCTTAAATTTTAACCACATATTTTCTTAAAAATCACTATTTAAAATATTATTGTTTACAAATAATGGTTGTTAAACAAGGCTAAATAAGCCTTGCCAATACAAAGGGAAATTGCAGGAAAATGATGTTTTGAATAGTATTTTTTGGAGAATATGAGTGGGAAAAAAAATTGTGTTCACGTTCGAAATATTTTATTGTATGAATGTGTGGTTGAAAATGAGTATGCGAAATAAAGAGTTTTCAAATTTAGAGAGTCAAACACGACTAAATTGGTTGGCTACATTTGTGGATTTCTGTCACATAATATCTTTGTTAGGAAGTCCATTTTATGTTTGGGAACCATGTCTTTATCTCGGTTTCTGTTGCGCACATTTGATTCTTCTATAGACCTCCTTGATGTCAAGTCTATTCTTTGAGGGCAGAGCCAGCGGTATAAAATAAAATTTTTTATACTTGACTGAAACATTTTTAAAAAAAAATCTAATAGAAAAAAATGGAATTTTCATTGTAGAAAAAAAATCCCTTAAAAATTTAAAGCCTAGACATGCCCCGTCCTTCCGTCCCTGGAGCAACACATGGTTTGAGCCTAAACATGATGAAATTTTTAGTCGCAAGTAGAAAAGATGCTAATATCTTGTTTGTTGACAAGCAAACAATTGTGCAGCTTAATTGCAAATTTATCTTTTTTTTCCTTTTTGCATCGGCCAGCAAGTGAATCAAGTTGCTTGCTAAGACCCCATTTGACAATCATTATTTGGAAAAAAAAATGATATTTTAAATAGTGTAAAAGAATGTAAAATGACAAAGTAGAGAAAAATTTAGCTTACGTGCAGAATATTTTACTATAGAGTAATGCTATTTAGCCCTACAGGATTATAATTTCAGTTTAGGTGGCGTTAACGTAACATTAAATGATATGTGAAATTAAATAAACCATTTAATTTCACCTTTCATTTAGCATATCATCTTGCGTCGCCTAGACTAGAGTTGTAACACATTGGAGCTACCATTACTCTTTATTAAGTGAATGTGTGGTTGAAAATAAATCCGTATGAAAAAAGTTTTTAAATAATGGTTGTCAAACAGAGCTAAGTTTTGCATTCAAGTTGTCATGGATATTCTAATAAATTTGTCATTTATCTTGTACAATTCAACTCATCAAACTAATTACCGATGTTTTTCAGTTCCACCAGACTAACAAAACACAAGTAAATTGTTTTAGAAAATTGAGAAGAACCTTCGTATTTGAAAAGACTGAATAGGTTAATCTATAGAGTATATCTCATATCTGCATGCGTCCTGTTCTAACGTAAGTTCTTCACTTTAACATCATCATAATAACTCATTCCCATAATCTATGATAGGAATCACAATTCTGGTAAAAGGGAAGATCAGATACTCATGGAACTCAAATTCCCCGTGTCCACCAAACTATAGGGTCGCCAGTCACGGCATGCGCCA